TGATGATGTTGAAAAGTTAAAGACATTAATCAACGGTGTAAGTTCAAAAAGTGTATATACAATAATTAAAATATGTATTAATTATTTACTTTTATATCTAGAACGCATCTTCCATGGTGAATTCAATTGCCGATTCTGGACATATTTTTGCTAGAACATTTGCAGGATCTAGTTTAACTCCTGGTATGCATAATGCAGAATTAATGGGTGGTATGACACAAGTCAACTTTATGAGTCGTTTAGCTGCACAACAAGATATTTCGGATGTAGTTGAAAAATTAAAGCAAATCTCTTCCGCTGTCTTGACTCAATCTTCTCTTCGTTTTGCTATTACTTCGGGTGAAGATGCTATCGAAAGCAACACAAAGTCTTTGGTTAACTTTATACAAGGTTTACCAACTGAATCTAAAACTATCTTTAATACTGTTGATTCCGTAAGTTTTTCTATATATGGGAAATTTTACACTTTTTTCTTTTTTTTTACTTAAATTTTTTTTACTTCATAGAATCCATTTGTACCTGATTACAAGAAATCATTTTTCCCCTTACCTTTTCAAGTAAATTTCTCTGCTCAAGTACTTCGTGGTGTACCTTATACTCATTCAGATGGTGCTAGTCTTCAAGTATTATCTTCTCTTATGACTAATCATTATCTTCATCGTGAAATTAGAGAAAAGAATGGTGCTTATGGTGGTGGAGCTCGTTATGGCGGATTAAATGGTTTATTCTCTTTTTATTCTTATAGAGATCCTCGTACATTAGAAACTTTAGATACTTTTACTAAATCTGTTGATTGGGTTCAAAAGCGTAAATTTACTGATCAAGAAATTACTGAATCAAAGTTATCTATTTTCCAAGGTGTTGATGCTCCTCAAAGTGTATCTGAAGAAGGTATGCTTCAATTTGTAAATGGTGTATCTCATGAAATGAGACAAATGTAAGTACATATATCTACCAATCACATAATTATATGCGTATTTATTTATTTTATTTTTTAAGGCGCCGTGAAGCACTCTTAAAAGTGACTCAAGATGACATCAAACGAGTTGCTCAGGAATACCTTGAAAAACCAGTGGTAGAAAATAGATTTTCTACTGCATTGTTAGGTGAATCCACTGATCGTATTGCAGCAGAAAATGGTTGGCATATTAATCAATGGGGAGAAGCAGTAAAAAAAGAGTAAAAAAAAAAAAAAAAATTAGTTAGTTTGTACATACATAAATAAATCTTTTTTTTTTCTTTCAAAAAAAGTAATAAAATAGATAAGATGTATTTTAAAGAGATGACAAACACATAATGCAACTATTAGGCGGAGACCCCGGATTTACGGTAGAGATATCAGTCTCCCCCCATTTCATTTCACATGGGGAAATATTCTTTCTTCACAGTTTTCATCGGTCTTTAAAGGAAAAATCACATGCAACATTTAACTTGTTTTTTCATTAGTAGCTTATTCTGTCTCCGAGTTTCTCCTCCTTCCTTAAACAAAATTCTTGCTTATAAAAAGGAATTGATAAACTCTGTACTTTTTTTTTTTTTTTTTTCTTCTTCTTCTTCACTACTTTAATTTTATTTTAAATTATCTTATCATGACTGCCGATTACGAACAACAACTTTTCCAAGAAGAAGTCGAGAAAGTAAAGCAATGGTGGGCTTCTCCTCGTTTCGCCAACACCAAGCGTCCTTATACTGCTGAAGCTATTGTTTCTAAGCGTGGTTATTTCCCTGTTGAATACCGTTCTAATGTTCAAGCCAAGAAGGTCTGGAAGATCTTACAAGGACATAAGGCCAATGGTACTACTACTCATACCTTTGGTGCTCTTGATCCCGTTCAAGTAACTCAAATGGCTCCTCATCTTGAAACCGTTTACGTTTCTGGCTGGCAATGTTCTTCTACCGCTTCCTCTTCTAACGAACCTGGACCCGATCTTGCTGATTACCCTATGGATACCGTTCCTAACAAGGTTGAACATCTTTTCTTTGCTCAACTTTTCCATGATCGTAAGCAACGTGAAGCTCGTCTTTCCATGACTCCTGAAGAGCGTGCTGCTACTCCCGCTATTGATTACTTGAGACCTATCATTGCTGATGGTGATACTGGTCATGGTGGTATTACTGCTGTTATGAAGCTTGCCAAGATGTTTGTTGAACGTGGTGCTGCTGGTATGCATGGTAAGTTATTTAAACTATTTTTTTTTTTTTTTGCGTAAATGTTTACTTATTTTTTTTTTTCTTTGTGCGTGTGTTACAACAGTTGAAGATCAATCTCCTTCTACCAAGAAGTGTGGTCACATGGCTGGTAAGGTCTTGGTTCCTATTGGAGAACACATTAACCGTTTAGTTGCTATTCGTGTCCAATATGATATTATGGGTGTTGAGAACTTGATCGTTGCTCGTTCTGATGCTGAAGCTGCTACCCTTTTAACTTCCAACATTGATCCTCGTGATCATGAATTCATTGTTGGTACCACTAACCCTGAGGCTGTTGCCTTAGCTACTCTTATGAGCCAAGCTGAAGCTGCTGGTAAGAACGGCGCTGCTCTTCAAGCTGTTGAAGATGAATGGATTGCCAAGGCTGGTCTTAAGCGTTACGGTACTGCCGTTGCTGATGAACTTATCAAGGCTGGTAAGAAGGCTGAAGCTGAAGCTTTCCTTGAAAAGATCCACTACAAGTCTAACCTTGAAGCTCGTGCTATTGCCAAGAAGGACTATGGTGTTGAAATCTTCTGGGATTGGGATCTTCCTCGTGTCCGTGAAGGTCTTTACCGTTATGAAGGTGGAACTGAAGCTGCTACTTCTCGTGCTATTGCTTATGCTCCTTATGCTGATATGTTATGGATGGAAACCAAGAAGCCTATCCTCTCTCAAGCTGCACAATTCTCCAAGGGTGTCTTGGCTGTTCACCCTCATGTCTTGTTATGTTACAACTTGTCTCCCTCTTTCAACTGGTAAGTTTTTTTTTTATTTATATTGTGATTTTAAGAGTAATTTGACTTATAAAAAAAAAAATAGGGATGCTGCTGGTTTGAACGATAATGCTATGAAGTCTTACATTGGTGACTTGGGTAAGCTCGGTTTCGCCTGGCAATTCATTACCTTGGGTGGTCTTCACGCCAATGCTTTAGCTTCTGCTACTTTCGCCAAGGCTTACAAGGAACACGGTATGCTTGGTTATGTTAACGAAGTTCAACGTAAGGAACGTGAGAGAGGTGTTGATGTTCTCCAACATCAAAAGTGGTCTGGTGCCACCTATGTTGATGAACTTATCAAGGTCGTTACTGGTGGTGTTGCTGCCACTGCTGCTATGGGTAAGGGTGTTACCGAAGATCAATTCAAGGCTTAAATCTTATTCCCTTCTTCAAAATTTGTATAATATATATCACTGAATCTGTTCGAAACTGAGATTTATCCCCCCACACTTTCCCAAAAAAAAAAAAAATCAAAACAAAAAATCAAAAAATAGAACTTCGTGTACACTCTCTTTTTAAAAAAAAATGGTAACAAAAGAAAAAAAAAAATATGGTGCTATTATTTTTCTTGATGAAAAATGTAATACTTTTTTTTTTGACTTTATTATCTTTTTTTTTGTTCAATTACTCCAAAATTTAAAATAAATAATACCTCCTCTATCGTTCAATTCAATTCACGTAATCATTTAATTATCTTTTTTTGTTGTTCTTTTTTTTTTCGCTTATTCGTTTTGGAGATTAGACATGCTTACCCCGCTTTTTTCTTTTTTCCCCACATTTTCGAACGGCTAAAGGTTGCGGAAATCTAAAGAACTACCTTATTTGGAAGGGGTCGTTTTTTTTTTTTCATTTTAATTGTTGGAGTTGAACCACATGACAACATCATTTTCTTCAATGTGGTTCTTTTGTGTGTCATTAAAAAAAAACACTTAAACGTAACCTTCCGTGAAGTTGGGAACCTTAAAATTTTCAAGCCGTGTGAAAAATTAAATGCTTTAAATTCGTTTTGATTGGTTACTTTCTCATGAATAATTATCATTCAATTATGTGTTGTACAACTTATCTCTTATCAGTTGTGATGTAACTTTAAAGTCTTTCTTGAAATACTTCAAGCTTAATAAACACTTTGCAGTAAAAAAATAAAAAATGAATCGAGAAAATATCATATATTACAAAATGTGTTCTCTGTAAAAAAAAATGACAATCAGGTACTTCTTTTTTTTTTTTTTTTTTGTTATCATGAGTTGTTTGTTTTGTTGCTTTGTCATTTTAAATGAACAAAGATAAAAAGGAGGAAAATCTTTCAAGCAATAGATGAAATCATAAACTATCTTTTACAGAAACTAAAATATAAATGTTTGGGGTTCATCTATCCTCCTCCTTTTAATCAGTATGGCTTTCTTGAAAGAAATCTTAACTCTAACATTTTGCCGTATTTGTATGCCTCCAATGGTACTAGCAGGATTTTCTATTGTGAGTGGTCCCAACTTAATTACCATAAACAGTAGTAGAAAAAAATTGGGGGGGGGGGGAGAGACAATCATCGATAACATCATCATTAAATGTCAATTTTTTATTAATGTGATAACAGATTGTATCTACTTATAAAAAAAGTAGCATACAATAAACCTATTACTACAGATACAAAGTATAATTTATTTAGTTTATATCATTTTTCTCTCGTTGAATTAAATGACAATAATTCTTTAAAAAAGATTTATCATAATAATATATAAAAATTTAAGACTTTTTTTTTTTAATTTTTATTTTACATGTTGTACAGTAATAGTTTAAGATATATTCTTCAGGCACACTATACTTATTTCATACTTAAAGTTTATAAAATGGCTTCGGGATGCTTTAATTCCTTGTCAAATATATTAAAATATATTCTTCCTCCGGCTACTGCAAAATTTGACAAGCCAAAAACTGTACATATATATCATGCAACTGAACAATCACGTGAATGTCACGTGATGTAATTAATTATTTACCTTTTATAGTAATAAGTAGTTACACAAATACAAGTTGTCCTTGATGGTCTAGTGGCTAGGATTCGTCGCTCTCACCGACGCGGCCGGGGTTCAATTCCCCGTCAGGGAATACTCTTTTGCTTATTTTGATAAAATGCAAGTGTATGTAGTTGTTGTTAATGTTTTTTGAATGATTTCGGTAATATTTAAGTTGATTACCGAAGAGATTCATATATTTTTAACAAAAAAAACCTAATTCTGTTAATTCGGATTAGCAGCAATTAAAATTATTCTCGGTCAGGAGATTTAATTAAGGAGAGTTATATGTAAAAAAAAAAAAAAGGTTAATATCCCGACAAATGCATTATATATAATACGCATCTCATGAACACTTTTTTCTTTGATCTTTTTCAAAAGAAATAACATAAAAAAAAAATGAAATCTTCTATTAAAACTCAAAGAAAAGTTGTAAAATTTCCCAAAAAGCCTATCATAGGTACATCTAGTTTTAAAGTAACTAGTGGTCGTCTTATCGATGGTAAATGTACAAGTAAAACCCAATTTGATATCGATAGTGAAGAAGAGGAGGATGAAGTAATATATACATATACATACTCTCTATATAAAAAAAAAAATCTTGTTTACAGATTCTATTAATTTATTAGGAAGATGAATTAACTAAAGATAATATTGAAGAGATTATAAATATGGCAAAGAAAGTTGGCTTAATAGATTATAATGGAAATATTAGTAAAGCAATAAGGTTGTTCTCTCTTTTTTTTTTTTGTTTTTTTTTAAAAGTGAATTAACATTTTACACGTCATAGTGATAATTCAAACGATAAAAATCGAGCAGAAATAGACTTGTACGATCAAATTCATAAAGCTGTTCAAAGTATACCTATAGAAGCGGAAGACATCAAGCGATCAATTCAGAAATATTTAGATACTACTTTGAAAAAAATCAAAGAACCGAATGCAGTTAGTAACCTGTATGAAAAAGAAGCAACGATCTGGATTACACCTCCCATCTCTTTTTTCGTCAATACTAAATCTGATATGGAATCAGTATTTTATCCTCGCATTTGTATATGGGCACCTCATCATCCTCTTTTTAAAAAGAAGCAACAAGATAATAATTTAATGTGTTGCATAAAAAATTGCGATGGAAAGCTTGTATCAGAAGGATTTACCGATAAATATACATATCGTAAAGTCATGGAAGCAGCAGAGTAAGTTACCATAACAACGAATTGTCTTAAATTGAAAAAAAAAATGTACTTATTTTACATGTAATCACAGTCAATTTTATATCCTGACACATACTTATAAATGCTCAAAAAATGAATTACATATTTTTGACGGATGTGATGAAAACGTAGTGAATCAATTACACGAATTATCTCAAAGAGGTTACGATATCTATCGCATGTTATCAAACTATGGTGTCTCAAAGACTTTGGAGCATATAGTATCTGTCTATAAACGAAATAGTATGTCTGATATAGACATAATTGCAGCTGTAAAAAGTTTACATTCTGAAAAGATCAAGCGTTTACAAAATCAATATGCAATTGCATTAACTAAATAAATTAATTTAAAATAAAAAGAAGCAAGTTCCATATTCAAATTGACCTTTTTGATGTCTTTCAAAGCACGTTTTCGACGTCATAAGTTAAACTATCAAGTCACAGAAAAAAAAAAAAAAAAAAAAAAAAAGATGTTGCCCCAAGTTTACACCTTTTTTTTATATTTTTTATAAGTTTACTTTCTTTTATTCATCATGAGCCATTTATCAGACGAAGACGACGAGTTTCTTTATGGTATTTCGGATACAGATAAACCAACAAACCCTCTTTCCGACACAAAAAATGGTAAACAATTTTTTTTTAAAGAATAAAACTTACGCGTGTTCAACTGAGTATTTATGCTACTTTATTGTTTTCTTTTATAGACGTTGACGATTTATATGAACTGTACGATGAAAATGAAACAAAAGAGTATGTGTTTTATTAAATAACTTGTTTTTATTTCCTACTAACTTTTTTTTTTTTTAAATAGTACCGAACAGTAAGAACCGTTTTGAAAATATATATATATATATATATTTACGATCGAAAGAAAGTAGAGCTGAACTGACTTATTTCATTATATAGAAAAGAGGAAGACGTATCACAAGATCAAGCAACAGAGAAAGGTTCAGAAGACAAAACTGAACCCGATACCACCATGTCAGAAGCGGAAGTTACTGCAGAAATCGGACCAGAGATAAACGAAGAAGAAGATAGTGATGATGTAAGAAAACTCTTTCTTTCTTTATATATCACAATTTATTAATAGTTTCGACCTTTCGAAAAAAAAAAAAGGATCTTGAGATTATTTTAGAACCAGAGGAAGAAGAACCAAAAGAAGTAGAAGTAGATACAAAAAAGAAGGGTAAAAAAGGAGAAAAAAAAAAATTCGACATCAAAAAATTGAAAACAAATATAATTTTAGAGACGCAGTGACAACCACTGAAGAAAAAGATACACCTGTAAATATTAAACCTGGACAACAAGGAAAGCCTTCATCTACACCAGCCGATAATGCATCTTCAAAAGCAAACGCTACAAACACTAAATCATCACAAGGTGGTATTAATTTAGAACTTATTGGAGAGTATAATGGTCAACCTATTACAGATGTTGATCTTGATAATGTAGAAGATAAACCTTGGAGAAAACCAGGTGCTGATATTACAGATTATTTTAATTATGGTTTTAATGAAATCTCTTGGAGATCTTATTGTGCTAAACAAAAAATGTTACGAGAGAACAAAAAGGTCAGTAAATATCTGTTGAGAATTATTGTCATTTTATATTCATATTACTTTATTTCAGATGATGGGTGATTTAGATATGGGTGATTTCATGTCAATGGGTATGATGATGCCTCCAAATATGATGGATGGTGGTATGCCTATGGCTATGGCTGGTATGCCAAATCCTATGATGGGTTTACCGATAGGTATGCCTCCTCCACAAGCAGGTGGTAATCCTGCTATGAGAAATAGACCTGGTAATTTCAATGCTAGAGGTTCTGGAAGAAATATGCCAATGGGAAGATCAAAAAATTCTGATGGTAAAGAAGGCGGTAATGAAATGTAAGTTAAATACGTTTTTATATCTATTAGAATAATAAAGCTAAAACTAATATTAATAATTAGGATGAATCAAATGGATGGTAATATGCCAATGGAAGAAGGTGGTATGTTCCCTATGGAGTTCCCTGGAGGTCCTGGTGGTATGCCAATGAACATGTTTCCTCCCGATATGCCAGGTGGTCCTATGGGTATGCCCTTTTTTAATCCCAATATGCCTGGTGGTATGCCAATGGGCTTTGATGGAGGTGATTTTAGAGGTGGAAACAATTCTGGTAGATCTTCAATGAGAGGAGGTGGTCCTATAAGTAGTAGATCTCAAATGCCTCGTAGTAGTCACGGTAGTAGTAGTGGTGGTGGCGGCGGTGGCGGTGGTAGCAGTAGTGGACAATCTTCCAGCTGGCGTGGAGGAAGAGATGATTCAAGCGAACATCGTTCAGACTCGTAAGTTCTTTTTATATAAATATTTTATAAATTTAGTTACTTATATAATTTTTTATCTTCTTAGACGGAAGAGAAATAATGAGGGAAGTAGCAGCAGTAGTCATAGAGAATCATCATCTTCAAACCAAGACGATCATTATAGCAAACGGTCTCGTAACCGTTAATTAGTTTTTTTTTCCATTTCTTTTTTTTTTCTTTTTTTTTTAGAATAAATTTTTTTTTTAATTATTATTAAAACTGCCACTATATTAAATAATGCTAGCAAAGCCCTTACGCTATACCTTGTGCTTTATAAACCTTCGTTAAAATTACTTTTTAAAGGGCATGATTTTTTATTATTAAAAATATAAGAGACTAACATCTCCATTCAAAAAAAAAAAAAAAAAAAAAAAAAAAATATTTTTAAGACGATCTGATTGGCTGAAGAAAATGAAGAAAATCTTTCAGAATCAAAAAAAATTTTTTTTTTTGATCCTTCATTTTCTTCTTGTCAAATTAAAGTCCCTCAATGCTAACTTTTGTATTAAACAATATGATATGCATACGATGCAGAATTTGAAGGCGCATCTTTCGATATATCTAAATTTATATTTTTATATGTAAAAAATATACATGCTCTAATAGAAACTGAAATTTTGATTTTCGGAAATAAGTAATAATTTTTCTTACTATTTTAATATAATTTTTACATCATTAGAAAGAGCGTAAAATTTTACATTTAACTTTAATAATAACCAAAATCCCAAAACCTTTTTAATGTCAAGATATATCCAGATTTCTGATTTTTGAAAAAACACAAAGGGTATCCATGGCAAAAAAAAATCAAGCGGGGGTTAAAAATATTTAGGGGACGGTACAACGTAAAAAAATTAAATTTATTAGGTTTATTTAAACATTTCTTAAAAGCTCTAATTCAGCATTAATTTCTTCTTGAACTCTTTGTTGACCTGTGGACGCTTCATCCACTTCACGAATATCAATTAGAAAATCACGTATATCATTTTGGAATCGTTGTAAATCACCGCTATACTCAAACATACCCATCACCAGAACTTCAATTTGATCCCTATAAAAAAAACGAAATATGAGCATATATAAAAGAAACAGGAAGAGCTTATAGTTACTTTTGAAGTAAAGGAAAGGCATTACAAAGTAATTCCATTGTATACTGTTGCAAAAATTCGATATTGGACATAAGTGGATTCGATACTTGATCTGGATTAAATAATCTAGTATATATCTCTCCTTCCTGTACCAATTCAAATAACCGAGATAATACTTGACTTTGATAATTAAAGCCGTTTCTACAATCCGGATCTACCAAGACTTCCAAGATGTCTCGCAAGATACGCACATAATACCTTTCAAAGAATTGACTAGATACATCTTCATCTTCTAGTTGTGCAACGGTATTAATCATATCTAAACATGTTTGAAGGGCAATTTGAGATATTTCGCGGATAGTATGTTTGGTTCCCCACATAATACTATCAATCACAAGTTGGAATAAATCAGAAGATTGAAATAACTCTACAGTATAATTTTTAG